TACTATTCCAAAATGAATGGAGATGGGGGGGGCAGGGGGCGGAAATCAGTGAGAAAGATGGAAGATAAGGAGGGCTGCTGAGACCTGGAAGAGGGGCAGCAGGAAGTGTGTGTGTGCAGGCGGGGATACAGCTCTCCTAAAGTGCACCATGTCATTCCAGACAACAGCCTTCCTTCCCATGAATGCTCCACAGATCTGCATCCTCAAGAGGCAGCCATAACCCGACCTGCAAGCCATCTCTTCAGGTCACTCCCCTAGCACGGTAGGAGACTGAGGACTCAGCGGCCATGAGGTGGATCCTGAGTAATGTCAGCCCAGAAGAGGAACAGGAGAAACCTATCCTTGACCGGCCAACCAGGCTCTCCCAACCCAAAGACAGCAGGCAGCCCAGTAATGTGCTCAGACAGTCTTCACTGATGGGTCTCAAGGCTTCAAGGAGGACAAAAAAAAGATGCAGCCACCTCCACCACCTCCTGCATTATCTGCCGTGGATGTCTGTGTCAGTCACTTTTCTATTGCTGTGATAAAACACCATGACTAAAAGCTACTTAGGGAAGAAAAGGTTCATTTTAGCGAACAGTTCCAGAGGGATAGTCCATTGTGGAGTTGGAGTGCGGAGCATGGCATGATGGTAGGAGCAGGAAGTGGGCTGAGCACATTTCCATCTACACACAAGAAGCAGAGAGAAAAGGAAGTGGGCTACAAACCCTCAAAGCCAGCCCCCAGTGACGTGCTTCCTCCAGAAAGCCTCCACCTCCTAAAGGTTCCTTAGCTTATCCAAACAGTGCCACCAACTGGGAACCAAGTGCTCAAATACATGAACCTATGTTTATATTTCATATTCAAACCACTGCGGTCACAATGCTGCAGCAGACATCTGGATTTGTGATCCTTATTGCTCCACAGACTGTGACCTCCACTCCCCCCACCCCCACACTTCCCACTGTGACTGGTGTGTCCCACGTCAAGAAAAAGGGAAAGGGTGGAGATTAGGGGACAACTGGGGACCCTACCAAGGACTCAGAGTAGAGGGTCAGACAGTGCCACTCAGACACCTGTGCCAGCAACAAGAGTTTATCATGTTCATTAATTTGGGATTTCAAAACACAAATGAGGGGCCAGGGAGATGGCTCAGCAGTTAAGGCTGCTCTTGCAGAGGGCCCAGGTTTCAGTTTCTAGCACCTACATGACAGCTAACAACCATCTGTAACTCCAGTTCCAGGGGATCCAAAGCCATCTTCCACGAGCATTACATGCATGGGTGCACTTACATACATTGCAGGCAAAACACCAATACACATAAAAATAAATTTAAAAACCACAAATGAGAACTCTCCCCCACCCACCCCCACGGCCATGCCTTTGTCATTTAGTCAGTGCTGAGGATCCAATTCTGGGCATTGTGCTTGCTAGCAGCATAATTCCACTGAGGCCTACCTTTAGCACTTGACAGGCTGAGGCAGGGGGATTACCACAAGTTCAAAGCCCTTCTGAGCTATATTGTGAGAATCAGACTAGTCAGAGGATACAATTCTGAAGGAACCGGTTCTCAGAGTAATTTGGGGCCCCTTTTGGCTAAAGTGGATATAAAGAGCCAGGCTGTTTTATTCAGGCATTGCTGTAATGTGGCCTCGTGGAATGCCTAGGTTTCAGAAAGGAGTACGTTGTTGGTGACATGATCTAGAATTCATCATCAGAGTGCCAGTAAAAATCAATCTTTTAGAAAGCTTTTAGTATTGTCTTAAAATTCCCAATGGATTTCGTATCCCATTAGTACCTGCTGCCAGGGTAGAGCGTTCCTGCTGCCCACCGACGGCGCACCACCCACCCACACCATTGTGAGGTGTCCTCCCACATTGACTCTTGGCTTGGCCCTGGGATTTGCTTAGTTGTGTCTTTTATTTTAAATTATATGTATATGTGCATGTTATTGTGTGTATGTACACATGGGTACAGGTGCCTGCAGAAGGCTGCGGGTCTCTTGGAACTGGAGTTAGAGGTAGTTGCAAGTTGTCTAACATGGGTGCTGGGAACTGAACTTGGATCCTGTGCAAGAGCAGCACATACTCTTGACCTCTGAGCTGTCTCCCCAGCTTGCTCAGCCATTTTTTGAGATGGCCATGGGAAACTTTAGTCTGCTACATGCTGTAGCCATGTGGTCCAGCCAACTCTAGCCCTGACCACCAAACATGTGAGCTGTTAGAGTGTAGCCCCAGTGATATCATGACCACAGACACTGAGTTGCCCCAGCCCTAGGCAGGAATAGTACACGAATCTTTCACTTGTGCCTAGCACAGATCGCTCAGATTGTTGGACTTATGGGCAAGTAACATGGACACTGTCTGAAAGCAGTATTCTTTGAAGTTTGGGGTTTGATTGTTATGCAACAACATAAAACTAATGTACCACAATGTGAACTTTGGCTTTTTTTCTAAGTGAGATGGAAAGACATTAGGTTATGAAAGAAAACAGAAAACGAATAAGAAGAAAGTTGGAAGCCAAGAAGCCATGGATCTGACCTTTCAAGAACATTGTTTTGATCGCTGCACTGATTAAAAAAAAAAATAGGGAGCCAAGGAAACAATTAGGCAGACTAGGAAGGTGATATTGTCAGCTAAGATATGCTGGTGACTTAGATAGACCATTATAGGTATAAATAATAAGAAATTATCAGAATCTGGTTCTAAATCTACAAGACATTTCTGTTGATATTTTGAAAATAAGTGTGATGACTAAGTCTTTTTGAGATAGGGTCTCACTATGTAGCCCTGGAACTCACTATGTAGACTAGGCTGGCCTTGAAGTCACAGAGATCCCCCTGCCTCAGCCTCCCAAGTGCATATGCCAGTATATCTAGATGGCTAATCTTGACTGTCGACCTGACAGAGAAGTGCCTGGGTTGTAACACACTCCTGTCCGTGTGTCCCGGTTGTCCTCCTGTTGCTGTGATAAAACATTTTCAAAAGCAGCTTGAGGAGGAAAGGGTTTACAGATTACAGTTCAGCCTCAAGGAGAGCCAGAGCAGGAGCTCAAGGCAGGAACCTGGTGGCAGGAACTGAAGAAGAGACCACAGAGGAACACTGCTTACTGGCTTGCTTCCAGGGTCAGCTAAGTTTCTTATACAGCCCACACCCACCTGCGTAGGGATGGTACCACCCACAGTGGGAGGGGCCCTCTTTCATCAGTTAATCAAGAAAATGCCCAGCAGACATGTTCATGGGCCAATCTGATGGAGGAAATCCCTCAGTTGGTGACACACCTTCCCTGGTGTGTCAAGTTGACCACCAAGATCAGAGCGAATTCAGAGAGGATTCACTGAGGGGTGAAGACCCATTCTAAATGTGGGTGCCACCATCTCCTAGGTTAGGGACCTGAATGGAATAAAAGGGGAAAGAAGTCACTGATAATGGCTTCTTTCTTCTGCTTCCTGGCTGCAGTGATGTGAGCAGCCATGCCTTCCCCATCACAAGGGGCTGAAACCTCAGAAAATGTCAGCCTAAATACACCATTCCTCCCTTTGAGTCATCTCATTGTGCATTTATCATCGTTATGGAAAGTCTGACTAACACGGTGATGCATGAAAGACAGGGACTCAAGAACGGTTCAGAGGGGCTGGCGAGAAGGCCCAGTGTGTACTGGTGCAGTCCGAACTGATCCTCAGAATCCTGGTAAAGATGAAAGGAGAAAACCAACTCCACAAGGGCGTCCTCTGACCTCCACAGGTGCACCGTGGCACACAGGCCCCACCATCATACACACAGAGTAATGATAAACCAAAAAACACTTTTTAAAAAGAATGGCTCAGAGCTTTCCTGCAGTAGACAGATGATGAGATCATTAAATGGCATAATAAACTATATAACTAGCAAGTTGAGGGAAGATGATAACATAGAAATTCCATCTGGAATGCTAACTCTGAAATAGCACAGACATCCAATCTACAGTTCAATGATTTGGGCTGGCAGAAGTCTGAAGGCCTGCAAACCTAGGGCCCTGACATCTCAGGGTAGAAGGGGGATGCCCTGATTTAGAACAGGCTGAGAACTCACTTTCTTTCCCTTTCTAGTCTCCCCTGTCCCTTAAAGGATTGGCTGGCACCTGCCCACACTGCTGAGCTTGCATCTTCTTTGCTTAGTCTACTGATTCCCATGCTAATTGCTCCCAGAAATGCCCTCTTAGACACACCCCCAAAATCATATTTTATTTGCTATTTGGGTTTCCCTTAACCCAGACAAATTGACATGTAAAATTAACCATCACAGCACTGGTCAAAGAGCTTGTTTTTCATGAGTGAGAAATTCCCGGTTCAGAGGCAATAGGTAGTAAACAGAGGAGGAAGGCAACTGCAGGCAAATGTGTAGGAAACTGAAAACGTGCCAATCTGATAGTTTCTATTTTCACTTTGAAGTAGGAGGGAGGCGTCTGTTGAAATGACAGGGTGACGTATCTATGGGCCTAGAGAGAGAGAAAAGCAAGAGGCTGAGGGAAAGAGAGAGCTGAGTAGGAAAATTAGAGGGTTTCCAGGTCATGTTGACTTTCCAGGTGGGCTGAGAATCAGGAACTTAATGTGCCACCAATCTATATAATTGATAGATATTCTCCAGCAAATATTTAATTGCCCATGTGTTAGCACAGGGAAGGCAGATAATAGACCTGTTAGACAAGGGGTAAGGAAACATTTCCTATAATGAACCAGACAGCACATAATGAGCGTTTTAGCGACAAGATCTTATTCACTCTGTAGCACAGGCTGGCCTAGAACACTGGGTAGCTCAAGCTGGTCTCAGATTCACAGAGGCCTTTTCTCTCAGCCATGTAAGTGCTGGGAACACCTGCATGTTCCCCCACTCCCAGCTAATAGTTCATATTGGGATTTCCAAGCTTTTGCAGGTGTGTTTAACCTTTTCCCGTTGCAGTACAATCCTGTCATCTACAAAGTTCATGTGTCAGAACTATACAACTGAGTTATAAGAAAAAAAATTGCAAAAAACCTCAGTGTTGGGCTCGTTTCACAGCACAGATACTAAAATTGGAAGAACACAGAGAAGATCAGCATAGTCCCTGTGCAAGGATGACAGGCAGATCACGAAGCATTGCATATTAAAAAATTTAGTGTTTTGCTGGGCATGGTGGCGCACGCCTTTAATCCCAGCACTCGGGAGGAAGAGGCAGGCGGATCTCTGTGAGTTCAAGGCCAGCCTGGTCTACATAGTGAGTTCCAGGACAGCTGGGGCTACAGGGAGACCCTGTCTCAAGAAAGAAAAAAAAAAAAATTCAGTGTTTTAAGTATGTCTGAGATTCTGTGCTGGGTTATGTTCGGAGCTATCCTCAGCTATATGCTTTAGCACAATTGCCTCCGTAGTTATTCAGCTCTATCTTCTATGTCTTCTGTGAGATCAGCCATAGAAAACAGCTAAGCGAACTGGAGAGAGAACTCAGTGGTTGGGAGCACTGGATGTTCATGCAGAGGATCTGATTTGGATTCCCAGCACCCACATGGTGGGTAACAACTGTCTGTAACTCGAGTTCCAGGGGATCTGACACCCCCTTCTGACCTCCATGGGCATTGCACAACACAGGTGCACTTACACACATGCACACATACACTCATACACATAAAAAAAAAAAAAAGAAAATATCTAAACAAGTGTTTCCATATTACAAATGCAAAAGTTTACTTATAAATACTGAAATCTGAATTTAATGTCATTTTTAGTTTTTCACACAATATATTTTCCTTTGATTTTTTTCCAAGTGTTTGAAAAAATATCAAAACACTTCTTATCTTGTGAGTCATACAAAAATAGGTAATGGGTAGATTTGGATTGTGTGGCCTATAGTTTATGAACCTCTGCCTAGATCATGTGGTAGATCAGAAAAAGGTGCCCAGATGTTTATGTAAAATGTGGTTTCCACACGCCACCTTTACAGGGTGCCCTTGCTCAGCATACAACCATCCACTATGTTTGTGAGGTTATCGTAGAGTTGAAGATCTGCTGGCGATATTGCTCATTGAGGAAACCTGACAACCTGAGTTCAATCTCTGGAACCCATAGGGTGGAAGAAGAGAACTGACTCCCTCAAGTTGTCCTCTGACCACCATACACATGCACACACACACAAATACATGACAACGGGAGACAGAACTTACGGCGTGGTAAAGCCAAGGCTGCAGTGACATCAGTACAATATAATGTGGACTGTGTGGAAGGGAAGGAGGACGGCGGCTGGTATGCATCCTGGAGAGGGGTTAAGGGTTGCAAAGCACTGATGTGTTCAGAGAACTGTTGCAATAGGAGTGGTTGCAGGGAGGGTTGGAAGATTGGCATCCTAGAGCAGTGCTGAGTGATAGAGTTCCTGATAAGATGATGCAGTGTGTGGTTTACACGCAGGTCTTTGCCAATAAAGATGGAAGAACCAGGCTGTCAATGACAGTAGAGAGGAGGTTAGAGCTTGCCATAGCAAACCATAACAGAACGGTGATGACTGAGGACACAGGAAAGATCTGTCAGTGACTCAGACAGATGATGACATTTGTCATCTTGAGTAGTTTCCTGTGTTAATTTTCCCATGGCTCTGCCAAATATCTGATGAGAAGCCACTTAAGGGGAGACAGGTTTGTATTGGCTTGTAGTTGAAGAAGGGATATAGTCCATCAAGTTGAGGATGTTGATTGAAACAGGGGTGTAAGGTGGATGCTCACACTGTGTCTGCAGTCACAAAACAGGGTAGACAGGAAGTGGGGCGGGTCTGTAAAATCTCAAGGCCCGCCCCCAGTGAATCACTTCCTTTAGCAAGACTGTCCCTCCTGAAGGTTCTGCAGCCTTTCAAAACATCGCCACCAGCTGGAGACCAAGCGTTCAAACAGATGAGCCTACAGGGAGCATCTCACATTCAAACCACAACACTCTCTTCCAAGAGCTAGCTCTCAGTTTTTACTTCTACACCCTTAGGGCTTAGGCCCTTTAAGATTCTTTTTCTGCCTCCCAAAGTGCTGGTTTGGCAAGGGAAAAGAGTGGTGTGAGCACATATGTGCAGATGCCTGAAGAGGCCAGAAGAGGGCATTGGAGTCCCTGGAGCTAGAGTTAGAGGTGGTTGTGAGCAATCCCATATGGGTGCTGGGAACCAAAAGCAGCAAGAGCTAACTGCTGAGCCATCTCACCAGGCCCTTCATTCCATTCTGGCATTTCAACAGCCAAGGGAAATCTCCAGGGGAGTGTTTCAAAGGCTTCTGGGTCCCTGCATTTCCCAAACCCAATTGACTTCCTCCCTTGATACACCACCATCTCCCCCTCTGTAACCTTCTATCTCCTTTGGAAAATGACATCACCAACACCCCCTCCTCCTTACCCCATGCACCCAGATGACTCCTTCGATGATTCTCCCATCAGTTCAGCTTTGTAATCCATTCCTGCTGCTGTGCCTGCACGGACTGCTGTGCTGTCCTTTCAATGAACTCCTTAATCATCAGATCTTCAAGTATCCTAAGTGACTCGCCATAAACTCCTTGGTGTTTACTTGATTTTATAAAACATTGTATTAATAGCATTTCTCTTGAGTTGTACACACTAAGCACTGAGTGCTTCATCCCTTTTATCTGAGCCTTGTTCCCTAATTCCAGTCTTTGTCTCCTTGACCTGTTTCCCAGGACAGACAGCCAACTGAAACACGTATGTGATCGCACAGCACTCTTGCTCACCGTTCCGCAGTATAAGCTGGGTGTTGTGATGCACACCTGTCATCTCAGCAGGAGGGGGCTGAGGCAGGAGGATCACACATTTGAAGCCAAACTAGGTTCCATCGTAACAGGTGAGCTGGGGGTACATAGGAGGACCTTAACTCCAAACCAAACCAAAACAAACCAAAATAACAAAATCCAGTTCATAAATGCATCCTCACTGGGTGTGCTGGTCAGTTTTTGTCAACCTGATACAAACTATGGACACTTGGGAAAAAGAGACCCTCAACTGAGGAATTATCCCTGTCAGATTTGCCTATGGGCATGTCTGTAAGGTATTTTCTTGATTGTTAATTGATATAGGAGGACCTAGCCTACTTTGGTAGGTGCCATCCCTGGGCAGTTGGTCCTGGGCTGTATAAGAAAGATGGTTGAGAGGCTGGAGAGATGGCTCAGCCGTTAAGAGCACTGACTGCTCTTGCAGAGGACCTGGGTTCGATTCCCAGCACCCACGTGGTCACTATGAACTGTTCCAGGGAAATCTGACGCCCTCTTCTGGCCTCAGTGGCATTGCAGGACATGGGTGCACTCACATGCATGCAGGCAATACACTCATACAAATAAAATAAAATTTAAAAATAAATAAAATATTTTTAAAAAAAGAAAGGTGGTTGAGTAAGCCAGAGGAAGCCAGTTGAGCGGCGCAGTTCCTGCCTCCAGTTTCCTGCCTGACTTCCTCAAAGATGGACGTGTAGGATGAAATAAACCCTTTCCTCCCCAAGTAGCTTTTGGTCGCGGTGTTTATCACAGGAAACTAGAACACTGGGGTTCACTGAATGACCTCAGCAAGAGCAGCCATTTTCTGGCCCTTGCTCAATACTGGACACTCTTTCCTGGACTTCTCGTCCTCACTGCCATGTGGGATGGGCCACTGCTACCAACGCCGTTCCCTCACTCGTTCCCAGGATGTCCCTTCACTCTACATCCCTGTGGTCCTGCTGATTTTTTTGAGCTGATTACATTGCCATGACCAATAACTGGCAGAAGTGCCTAGAGGAAGGGTTTATTTTGTCTTATAATTCAAAATGAACATTCTATCACGACAGGGAAAGGTGGAGGGCTCTGTCTCTGGCCATGGGGGCCTGAGGCAGCTGCCTCTTACACTGCACCCACTAACAAATAGAGAGTTCATGCTGGAAGCTGAGCCGGGCTATGACACTTGTTCCCAAAATGACTCACTTCCTCCAGCTGTGCCCTGTTCTCCAAGGGTTTCACTGGCCTTTCACCAGCTGGGGACCAGGTGTTCCACAGAAGGCACACTGGAGACCATCTTCTTAGGCACGCTCTTTTCAAATACAGTTTGCAGTTTAATGCTATGGAGTTTTCCACTGGTGAGATCTTGTCCTCCAGGCAGTCCTCCTTTGTCTCACACATTTCTCTTTATTGACATTAATCTTTTTTTTAAATTTTTTAATTATTTTTGTTTTATGTGTATGCGTGTATTGCCTGCATGTAGGTAAGTGCACTCCTGTCGTGCAATGCCCGTGGAGGTCAGAAGAGGCTGTTGGATCCCCTGGGACTGGAGTTATGGACAGTTGTTAACTGCCATGTGGGTGCTGGGATTCAAACCCGGGTCTTCTACAAGAAAAGCCAGTGTTCTTAACCGCTGAGCCATCTCTCCAGCCCCTAATCTTTTTTTTTTTGGTCTTTTTGAGACAGGGTCCTCTGCAAGAACAGTCAGTGTTCTTAACCGCTGAGCCATCTCTCCAGCTCTGACATTCATATTTTTTTTTTTTTTTCTTTTTTTGAGACAGTCTCCTTGTAGCCCTAGCTGTCCTGGAATTCACTATGTAGACCAGGCTGGCCTCAAACTCACAAAGATCAGCCTGCCTCAGCCTCCCAAGTGCTGGGATTAAAGGTGTGCACCACCACACCCTGTTGGACATTAATCTTTTTTAACAGCTACAGTGACTTTGACCGAGTTGGTCTTGTCTGTAACTTTAAACATGTCCAAGCCTTTCCTGGCCAAACTGCGCATATTTTCATGCCTTTCTGCTCCCTGTTTTGTTTTAAATTCTTACTGTAAACCTAAAGGCATCAAGCAATAACCACACACAGCCTGAATGCTACCTTCTTGAAATGTCCTCCACCAGAGGGAATAGTCCATTACTTTTGAATTCAGCTCCACTCAAAATTTCTGGATATTAACAGAATGTAGCTAGAATGTAGTACAAATGGCTTCCAGCCCAATGCCCAGCAGCTCCTTCATCTCTCTGAAACCTCATGGGTCTGGTCCTCACTGACTGCATTTCTCCTGGGACTCTGGTCTTCACTGCACCAGAATGATGTTGAGCTCTGCTGTAGCTTTTACCTCCAGGTTGTCTTTGAACTTAGAGATCTGCCTGCCTCTGCCTCCCGAGTGCTGGC